GGGGTGTCTGCCTGCTCCTCCCCACTCTCATATTCCTCTGGGTCTCGCCCACAGCCAAGGAGGAGCAGAAGTAATGCACCTGTCCTGCACCGTGCGTGCTAGGAGTGCGGTGTCCAGATGTGTTCTGAGGACCCAGTGGACACCTGCCACCATGGGTGGTACCATACCTGGGTGTACTGCTCTGTGCTGGACATGTGTGCCTGGGATAAAGCTTCATTTACACACCGGGCAGCCCAAGAACTTCGGACAGCAGCACTAAGAGAGAACAACTGTAACAGTTTCCACTGCAATAAAATTGTATCACTACTCCTATACTCCGGGGCCATTATTAAGTGTGTGTGTGTGTGTGTGTGTGTGTGTGTGTGTGTAAGAGAGAGAGGGAATGAGAACTGCTGGAACACCAGCACCATGACGCTGGGACTGTGGTCCATCTGACAGCTAAGGCAGCCACTGAGTAACCTGAAGGAGGAAGTGTATACAGTAGGGACATGGTGGGACACCGATGGCCTGTGGCTGGAGTTGCTGCTTGACCATTTCAGAGGATGGCCGGTCACAGGCTAACGGGGTGCTGTGGTGTTTTGGAAAAGCAGAAACATGGTGTGCAGAGACCCCTCCTTAAATTTTTGACAAGTTTACTGGGGTATAACCTACTCCTTTTAAGATGTACGGTTGAGTGGTTTTGAGTAAGCATGGTGAATGTATAGCCATCACCACAGCGTGAGCCTGGAAGCTTCCATCATCCACCTCAGCATCTGGGGGCCCTCCCCTGGCTCCCCTGCGCACAGCCACTCCGTGACGCTCCCTGCAGATTTGCCTGTTCTGGATGCTGTGTGTTCAGAGTCCCGTGACCTGTGGTCATTGTGGCGCAGCTGTCCCCAGGTGGCAGTGTGCTCAGTGTTGTGTTCATTTTGGCGGTTCTGCACAAGTCCTGCCATGTGGGGGTGCTGCCATGTGTGCAGTGCCACTCCCATTGTTTATGTACGCTTCTTCCCAGCCCATGGTTTCCGTCCTTTTGGGCGTATCTTCCCAGTGGTTGGTGTGGATAAAAATGTTGGTGAAGAAGTTCCAGACCATTTTCTACAGCATCTGTACAGTGTTGCCTTCCCGCCAACAGCTCAGGAGGGCCCCAATCCTCCAGGTCCAAGCCAGTACAGCTGCCTGTGAGTCCTGGCTGGTGTGAAGTGGCATTTTGTCATGGCTTTGATTTGCATCTCAGTGAGGGAGACTGCGAGATGGGACAGCACATGGTCGGCCGGAGCTGTGCAGATGGCTTCATCAAGGCTTCTTCGAGCTTCTGGGTGTCTCACAAACACTACCTTATCAGATACATTCCCACTGTAATGTGGGAAAGAGGAGGCTGGGGCGTGGCGGCAGGACGATGGCCTGGGTCCTCTAGGGGCAGACTGGCGGGAGGCACAAGCTGTCCTGCTTCAAGTCTTTTCCGCTGTACCTCTGAGCGGGGGTGGGGGAGGGGGGGTCGCCCTGCAGGATCACCCCAGGCCTTGGGGTGATCTGTGTGTTGTCTGCTGAATGCTTGACTGGCACACCTGAAATCCAGAGAGGCCTTTTGCTCGAAGAGAGCCCGGCTGGGTTTTTAAGTTTTGGGGATTGCCCTCTGAGTTCTGAAGCAGCACCCCCACTCCGGCCTGTGCGCAGGGAGAATTAGGGGCACACCTCTTTCTTCCCAGAGCATGGAGAACAGCACCCAGTGGTGCTGCCGTGCTCCCTGGAGTCCCAGAAAACACTTGTTTCAGAGCAGGGCCTTTTTCTGCGTGTGTGTTTGTTGCTTTGGGAGACTGGCAGGGCTGTTTATAACTTAGCCCTCCGTTCCAGCTTTTAGGGCCTTCTCCGTGTCCCTGGCAGTGCTGTCCTCCATGGCAGGTTAAAGAAAGGTGATCTGTTTGCCAGCTTCGTGCAAAGCATGAAGATGAAGTTCCCCCCGCCCCCATTAGGCTAGGGCCGTTCCCAAGCCCTCTGGCAGGGGAAGCTCGGCCTACACCTCCCTTCTCTGGCTCCACACCCCAGTCTGACCAGCACTTGTTCTGGAGACTGGAAACTTTAGGTAGGAGGCTGTAGACTCAACCCCCACCCCGTGTGTGTGAGACCCTTGGAGAGGAGCAAGAGTGAGGGGTGCTAGCACCTGAAAAGTCTAGTTTCAGATAATAGCTTGGACCAGTCAGAGGCCTCGGTTTCCCCATCTGCAGGATGGGCAAGCTGTTGGCTCCCCGCATCTGCAAGTGATGCCACATCCATAGGCTGGGCTGTTTGGGAGGATAGATTGCCTCTGTTCTGGTTGTGCCTGCAGCATCCCTGTTCCTTCAGGTGTCGTTGGTCATCGCAGAGAGGGTGTGCGTCCCTCCTGAGCAGTTCTGCCGACATTTCACATCTTTGGACTGGCGGGAGGTCCTGGGACCCATTCCCTGTGCGTAGTGCCCTGGCAAATGTTGTGTTACCATGAGGACTGAGCACAACCAGTAGGGGGTACGGTGGGGGCACCTATGCGATCCCCTCCACAGCCGCCCCGCACCTACGTCTGTTTCCGAGGAGAGATGTGGGAGGTCTTGAAGCCAGCTCTTCGCCGTGGAAAAGGGGTGTCCCCTGCCTCGTCTACCCTGTTTCTCCCGGCCTCCATCTCAGGAGCTTTGATGCCATGCCTCCTGCCATGTCACCATCGGCCACCCAGTTGCCCCAGGTTGAAAACCAAGCAACCGGAGGTAGCACAGCCCCCGTGGGCCCCTTCGGCGCTCCCCCAAGGAGCGTTCCTGGTTAAGTTCAGAGTTGCTACAACCCAAAGAAAATAGTTGGAGGATGTTTTCCAAACTGCATCTCGTGGAACAAAAGAGCAGTTCATCCTCTGTAGCCTTCCATCATCTGTTCCCTGTGGAAGACTCAGATTGTTCAATTAAGTGCGAGGGAGCCAGCACAGGCTGCACGACCCAGAAGCTCGCAGCATCCAAAATGTGGGCAACAGGGGAGCCGAGCCAGCTCGCTCCTGCCAGGGCTGCCGCTGCTCTCTGCCTCTGTCACTGTGAGACTTCCAGTTTTCTCATCCCCCGCTCAGAACTAGCGACCTCAGCAAGAAGGCGTGCACACGCATGTGTGAGTGTGTGTGTCTATCCATCCATGTACCTCTGCCAGTTGAGCACCTGTCAGTTTCTTTGGTGTTGTGGTCCAGGCCCAGCATCTCCTTGCTCTGAGCTGTCCCTTCTCGTTTGCTAACCACTGGGCTGAACTTGTGAGACTCTGGCCGCTGCTGAACTCAACAGAGGTCCCTGCAATGTTTTTTGCTTTGTTTTGTTTTGTTTTTATGGGGAGAGCGTTTTGCTGGGAGAATGGCCACACTTTCAGTCACTTCTCAGTGATGTCTCCACATTCCTCCTCCAAAACTAGATGAGTAAGAGTTTCTGGTCATCCCTCCACTGCCAGTGCCCATGCCCTGGCTTTCCTTCTGTGATGCCCATGCCCCACCATGCATGGGGGGTTCTCAGGTGCTGTTCCGCAGGGGTTGGAACTCAGTGGTCTATAATGGGGCACAGGAAGTTTGGGTTTTTGACTTGTGCCCCAGCAGCCACCTTTGGGGCTGCCGCTGTGTTAGGGACAAGAATTGGCTGGAGGGTGTGCAGTAGTACGAGCCTCTAGCGACCAGTCACAGCTGGAGATGGCTGAGACTTCAGAAGCAGGTCCAGGGCTGTCAGTGCCATCCTTTTGTCCACTGTGTCTTGGGTGTCCTTTTGGTCCAGCTGAACCTCCTGAAGGGCAGAAATTGACTGGGCCTTACTTTGTGGCCTCAACCTCCTGACACCTTGCCTGGCTAGAGGAGGCATTTCCTCTGTGGGTGCCAACCCTTCTGGTGCCGCTTTTCCAGCCTGGCGGTGGCAGCCTGTAAGCCAGTATCCTTTTTGCACTGGGTCTAATTTTGTCTGCAGGCTTGCCTGAGCTCTCAGGGGGGAGCTGGGCCTGGAGGGAGCCCACGGACCCGTGCTAATTGGTGTCATTGAGTAATTAATGCAGAATCAGGCTCCGCGCGGAATCCCAGGGAGACGGACACTGAGGGTGGTTTTCATGCTGGCTGGGCTGGGGGCTCCCCACTCAGAAGACATTCCCAGAACTCAGAGGCCACTGGCATGGTCTGCTGGGTGGCTTGGCAGTGGCCTAGGGTTCATGGAGCAGGCGTGGAGGGGGTTTGTCACGTTGCTCCATGTGGAGTGTGGCGACTTGACTTCCCAGGAGCACAAACCTTGGGCAGGGGTTCCAGGAGCCAGGCCTGAGTCCATTGAGAGGAAGGCCAGGGAAGGGCAGGGGCTCGGTGCACCCACACCTCCCTCTCCAGGGCCCCTGCACTATCAAGGGCAAGGATCCACATGGCTGTGCTCCTTGAATGCCACACTCCATCTTCTGGATTTTGCCCGTGCCGTTCTCAAAACCCCAAAAGACCTGCATGCACTTCGTCCTCCTCCTGGCTGAAGTCCACTGATCCTTCACAGCCTGACACACATAGCCCTTCCTCCAGGCAGCTGAGATGTCCTGAGTCAAACCACAGCAAACACAGCTTCTTCCAAAGAGCCCAAAGCTCCCTGTGACACTTTAGTTGTTGTTCCCACTGGGGATCTGATACGGGTGGCAGAGGATGCGTAGACGGAAGATGGCAGCACCTGTCGGACACGACACCCTTTCCATTGCTGGACACATAATGGCCAGAGCAGGTCCTTAGGCCATCCTGAGTCCAGCAGGCCAAGAGGGTCCTGTGGTTCTTTGGGGAGGGTTGTGGAATGTACGTGGGCAGCAGATTGGTCTCCACAGCATTCCCATAGTGGGTAGGTACTTTGTGGTCTTTTCCCTACATCACTACCCCTACCCCTGGTCCTTGCAGCTCTACTAACTTCCTGATTTTGGCTCCAAGGAGGGGCTGCCTCTCTGCCCTTGTACCCAGCCCAGAGGCACATGAAGAGTGCTGGCTCAGTTGGGTGAGTGTGGCTTGACACCCCACCCTCCCTCTGCAGGCGCCGGGTCCTGGCCATCTCTGATGGGATCGAGCACATCGGGAACCTACGCTGGGAGCTGGCCTTGTGTCTCCTGGCAGCTTGGACCATCTGTTACTTCTGTATCTGGAAGGGGACCAAGTCCACGGGAAAGGTAAGAGGGACAAGCAATCCATGGTGAGCGCTGGGGAGGTGCAAGAAGTCCTCATACAGGCTTGCAGTGACGCATGACGCCGGAATGCGTGGTGTCTGAGCCAGCTCCTTGGATCGGAGGCAGAATGGGCACCAGCCGGAGAGCGCACGTAGGAGCTGAGCATCTGTTCTTCCCGTGACTTGCCATGCACCTTAGGGATGTTCCATTTCATAAGCTGAACCTCAATGTGCTCACCTAGGAAGCAGCAAAGCCTGCCTGTCTGCCCTGGGCAAGTGAACCTGACCCTGACCTGTCTGAACATTGGAGGTTCACACTGAAGAGAACTGGCCCATGTTAGAATACAGCACACGTCAGGGCTAGGAGGCAGCTTGGTTTTCAGGTTGAAACCTGATTTCTCTGAGTTAGGAAGTGGAGATCAGGGAAGTATGTGCCCAAAGCTTTGCTCTGAACCCCACTCCTAGAAGCAGCATACATGGGACCCGTCTGCCTCCCCTATGCCTACTCTTCCACTCATTTGGCCTTCGGTTTCAAGACAAACGCCTCGTTCTTGTTCCAAGCACAAAGTAGGCATTCACCCAGCGGTTTATTTCCCCACCTCAGGAAGATAGCTAAGATCTTAGTGGCCAGCAGTTACTTCTTTTCTAGGTACAGTTTGGAGTTTTAGAGATCTTCTACAGTCTTAAAACAACACCTGGTTTAGTTGTGTATTAGAGTACAGGAGTCTTTGGGGAAACCTCCCGATCAACAGGTCCCGTGGATAACTGGGAGACAGAGGATTGAAATCAGACCAGGATGTGCAGCTGTCTGTGGTTGTCCTGGATCCCCTTTTGAGTTAATCCAACACATTGTTCCTGCCCATGCCATAGACCTGAAACCAGCAAGTCCCTTTGCAGGACTTCATCTCTCCAACCAAGCCTGCTTCTGTGAAGGAGCCAACTTCTCTTGTCTGTCCTGTCTCTCCACCATCCACACTGAGCACTGTCAGCCCCTGCCACCATTCCCCAAGGGAGAGTAACTTGTAAGAGTTCCCATTTGTACATACACACCGAGTTTCTATTTGCACACACACTGATGAGTTCCATTTGCACACACACATTGCTGCCTGCCGTGTGGCACAACTGAAAAGCTTTGAATCCTGTGCCTTATTCTCCTTGAGATATTCTGAGGGTTTATTCCCACTCTCTGATCTGGCCATCATGTAGTAGCAGCAACATTAATGATTTGTGACACTTTCCTAGCAGCCCCATCCATGTTTGTTGAAGACAGAAAAGGGTTTTCACCACCTACATGACATCCTCTTGTGGCTTTGCCTGGCCTTGTTCTAATCCATGATGGGCCTATGGTAGCTTCTGGTCCCAAGCAGCACATGGCTTGTTTGTCAATCGTGTTTTGTGCTGGTCACAGGGCCGTGAGTTGCCTCTTTGGTGTGTTGATGGCTGTTTTCTTGCTACTGTGACAGCACAAATGGATAATTGTGATGGATACCTGGTGGCCCACAAAAAAAACAACATGGAGGTGAAGCCACTGTCCTCTGAAAACACATCTGAAACTTTGTGAGTACCAAGGATGCTGCTTGTGGAAATTCCATGCTGCAAACTTGGTTCATTTACAAATTGTTTCATATATGGCTGTGTGTTTAGTGTGTGTATTGTGCATGGGGAACCTTTTTTTCTGCCAAGGCCCATTTGGGTATTCACAGCATCCTTTGCTGACCCTACAGAGTTATCGAAAGTGAGCCGCTGTGGAGTTACTGACGCTGAGTACCACCTGCAGTTGCTCTGACAGGGGCAGACCAGGTGTGTACCAGATTGACCTATGGGCCAGATGTTTCCCACTTCCTGATAGTTCCTACATGGATTCCACATTTACCCTCACATGGCTCAATGCATGTTTTGTGATACTCCCCAGTCCAGAGTTCCAGATTCTGTAAGGCTTCAGTTCCCAGGCATTTTGGGTCAGTGGTCCCCAGACCTGTTTTTCATGATCTGGCCCTGCACAGAGGCTTATGGCCTAATGAGTTACTCTGCTACTCAATGTTTCCTACCTAACAGGAAACTAACAGGAAAATATTGTCACCTGAGTATGGGCCATTCCAGGCACTGATAGACCAGTGGTAATGTTGGTCCCTGCCGCCCTGCAGCCTCAGATTGGTGGCTCCTGTGTCCATCCCCTCATTTGCTAGGGGTATTGTTGCTCATTCATTCGTTTGTTCTCCATCTGTCCAATGTTTACTGTGTAACTGCTGTGCATGCCCAGCACCAGACAGGTGGCTCTTCGTAAAAGTGAATGAACCAGACCGTGAATGAGATGGGAAATAAACCAGGCACAGAAAGGCTGCAGGAACCAGCATGCATATGGTGGCCCCTCTGAGAGCCCAGGGATGGCATCCTTTGGACAGCAGCCTCACCGGAGATGGGAAGGATGGTAATGAGCAACGTCCCTACCGGGGACACACCCAGCAACCTTGAGAGGCTCAGTGAAGTGAGAGCAGCATCAATGAGGAACAGGAGAACGGGCTGGGCTCAAGCCTTGAAGGCTGTGATTTTGTACTAAGCCGTGAGTAGCTCCAACCCTGAGCTGATGAGCAGAAAATTGGTGATGGAAGTTGGGGAACAGGGCATATGGTATGCTTCTATGTCCACAGCTGGCACTGGCTGCCTTTTGGGAGTGGGATAAAGGAATAGGGCGCTCCATGCAGATGACGGGGCTGGAGGTAGCACTGGGGTAGGGACTAGAGACCCCCTGGGCTGGCAGACTTGTCCTGTGGGCCTGAAGTCATGGGAGGCTGTGAAACCTCCACATCCCCAGGCTCCTGACTGAGGTGGCTGGTCACCCCTGTCTGGACACTATGCCCTCTGTCAGCGCTGCCTCACCCTCCAAATTATCCCAGCATCCCTCCTGACTTCCCCTCCGTCTCTCCGGCTGGCTCCTGGCCTCTACCCTAGCCCGGGTCCTCCTCTGTCCTCCTCTTGGTGGATGATTTATGGATTTTTCCCCCTCGTTTCCTGGTCTCCAGGAGCAGTGGTTGGGAGGCAAGGGCTGTGCAAAAACAATTGTGGTCCCTTCCCCGCCTCCTGCCCTTGCTCCTGTAAGAGGAAGCTACGGGATTAGCTGGGTTTAAGAAGAATCGTGCCTTTTCACTGCCTTCGGGCTCTGTTTTTACTCTTTTCAAAGCTCCAGGACACCAAGGCAGGGGGAGAACCCCCCAACCTCCACACACACACAGACAGACACACTCACTCAGAAACAGCTGCAAAGAGCCTTGCATTGAGTCTTTTTCTTTCCCTTCTTCATTCACCAGCAAGTGGAGGCCCTGGAGGTGCCACAAGGGCACATGGCCAGCCTGTGCGGGTGGGGCGGTCGTAGAGCAGATGCCTGGTTGTGCTGGATTTCTGGCTCAGTCCTCAGGACAGCATGGCCATGGCCCCCATTTCACAGATGAGAAGACAGAATTTCCAGAGCTTAAGCCGACGTTTGTGTCAAGGAGTCACAGAGGGATGGTGTCGGAGTCCCTTGGACCAAAGAACAGTGGGTGAGGTCCCTGGCTCCTGGGCCATCATTGGGCAGGTACCTGCACCTGCTTCAGCCCCTCCTAATGGCAGCACAGCCTCAAGGGCTGCAGGAGACTTGTCCTCTCCCCCAACCCACCCAGACATGTTGGATCCACCAGCGGGGGAATCATCAGGAGCCCCACACAGAACATTTATTCTTCAGGAGCACCCTATAAAGTGTCTAATGGGTTCAATGAGGCATGAAGCAAGAGTAGAGGGGGCAGGGAATGAAAGGAAGAGATGATGTGAAAGCCCAGAGAACAAGCCAGGGAAGGGAACTGGGCAGCGCTGTCCCTGGGCCCTCAAGTGGCCTTTGTTGCAGCCCAGGCAAGCAGGAGAGTGCGTTGGTGGTGGGGCCCTCGCGGCGGCTGGGCTGATGTCTGCATTCAGAGAGGAAACTAGAGCGTTCATGAGAAGCATGCAGAGTGCCCAGCCACTGCCCTGGGCGGCCCCTGGTCCAAGCCCCCAGAAGCCGAGGGCTCCCCAAGCTGCCCCAAGAGGCCTTTTGTACGGGGATATGAGCCCATCTCCCACCACGGTGCTTCAGGAGAGCAGCAAATTGTGACATTAAGTCAAAAGAGCTCAGCATCTCGATTCAGCCCTTTCTCTGGCCGTGAGTGACAGGGCTTCACCTTTAGCGGGAACCCTGGCAGCTAGCAGGCTTGGAGCGGAGGGGAGCTTTGCGACTCAGTAATACCGTCTTTATGAGAGCACAAAGGCCCCCCAAGTCCCGGTGACTGCCCAGTTGGGGGGGAGTGGTTCTGTAGAGCTGGCCAAGTTGGGAGAGCCTCAAGGAGCTCAGAGAGGGCCTTGGAGGTGGAAGTTCTTAACCCTTCCCCAGCACCTCCCAACACATGTTGCTCCAGGAGTCCATCCCCACGCCTGGGTGTCCCCTGGGGATGGGAGGCCTCTCTTTTTTTCCTCTACCCACCACCCCCATCCTTCCCAGTCAGACACAGGAGAGTCATGGTGGCTTTGCCATCAGCCTGAGGCCAAGTGCATCTGGAAGTGAGCAAGGACCAGCACAGGGCAGGCCGCCATGGGATGATAAGAGAAGTAATTCCCACGATTCCTGCCCTCATTCCCAGAGGGGAGGGCATTTGGCACAGGGGTTAAGTTGCCACTTGGGCTGCCAGCATTCTTATACCGCAGTATCTGGGCTTGAGTCCTGGCTCTGCTGCGGCTTCCAGTCTCCTGCTAATGTGCACCCTGGGAGGCAGTGGTGATGGCTCAAGTACCTGGTCCCCTGCCATCCATGTGGGAGACTTGGGCTGGATTGTCAGTTCCTGGCTTTGGCCTGGCTCAGTCTTGGCTGTTGCAGGTTTTTGAGGAGTGAATTGGTAAACGAGAGTTCTCACTCTCGTTCTCTGTCTCTCTGCCTCTCCAAAAAATACAAAGCACTGAGGCAAATGAGCATGGATGCGGGGATGGTGAGAGGGAGCAGGTGGG